GATGAAAGAAGAAAAAACCTGCCATCGCACGCCAAAGACACGCGGACTAAACAATTTTTTTCCCAATGAAACTTTATGTAGGGATATCTTGCATAACATGACAGCTTAGCGACAATCGACTTGCATTACACTCGTAGTTCGAATGATTAATAAAGACCATGGTATTAGATAGCGATCTGGCTTTACGGCAGAAATTTAAAATTTATCATGGGGAAAAGCCATAAGGCCTGATAAGAAAGTTTGTGAAAGTTTCGAGTGCAATATGGTGTTGGTAAGTACGAGTAAAATTTTTTAAAGATAACAGAATTGCATCAGCCCGTAGGGCGAGTGCAACTTGAAGTCCTTGAAAAATTTACCAGTGCTTATTTACACCAAATTCCAATAGAAATCATGTCATTATATATTAATAATTTACACGTAAAAGCATCACAGAAGGTCAAAACAGACGAAATTTTGACAGCGCTCGCTATTTGTAATTTGCACTCGTGTTGCAAGTTTGCACTCGTTTTACATGAAAAATACATTAGTTTTTAGCCAATCAGAAGCGCATATTTATTTCATGTATGCTAGAAATGGCATAATTACAGTGTGTGCTGTAAAGAGTTAAGTCCGTGTCAGTAACCTAACAAGCCCCACCTGAATAGAAACGTAGTGCGAGCTCTTATTTTCTCGAAATTCCTCAGGATATCTATACTTATGGGAAGACAGTTACTCACAAACGCTTCCCAGTTTACAGACCAACACAAAGTGTCTTTCAAGCATGAAAATACGCATTCGTAGTCGTCGAAAACCACGAATGTTCCACTTTTAGGCGCAGTGAGATATTAATATTCTTCTATTATTAAAAGACTTTGTTTGAAAGTCTGGGATGAAAAGGTGAACTTGTATTCCAAAACAGGCACTTCTCCAAAGAAGCAAATATGCGTTATATTAAAAGAAATAAGAAAAACAATTTTTTTAGTGTTCTCCAAATTTTCAGGGTCACCTCTCTTTCGACGCCGGCTTCAAAACAACATTGCAGACTCCTCTGTATGTTTCTTCAGCTATTGTTTCGTATCTGCAGCCATTTTAGACATTCTAATTTTCTTTCAGAGTTCTCGCTTTAAGTCTAAATGAGAGAAACAATAGACTTTCTTTCACAAGGTAT